TATAATGCACACATAACTTCCTAAAACTTCTTGAAAATTTTGTACCTGCTTATGACATGCACCCCTTGTTTTCTTCTGAAATTTGGGAAAAAAGGTGCGCATGGTACTTAAGTATAAATGCAGTAAATTGATTTATTTTCAGTAATTTTGTAAACACAGCAGAAATGATTTTCATCACAACAGCAACAAATTTCCATTCACAACCAAAACATGATGCAACCAGATTTCCTCAGGTCTTGTCAGTATAGGACTGCCAGGAAGGAACTGTCTTAAAAATGTGGTCCAGACTGACCAAGAAGATTTTTGGGGGAGGGACAGAAGAAAGCGTTGTTGAGGACATTCTAGTGAAATCAGGGAATGGTCCTTGAAGGATGATTTGTCTCAAGAATGGAAAATCCCATAGGAACCCAAGGTCAACTGGGTACCCTTGGAATTCCTCACCAGAGATTAGAGGGTGAGTTTCACCCCCAGTGAAACTCACCCAACAAATCTGTACTGAATTTTTGGTATCCTATTTATATTTCCAACTAGCCCTGTAAGAAATAGAAAGAGAAAAGACTTTGAAATGAGCGGTGCCAAAACATTGTTTTTCCACAGGCATGAGAACCCATGGAACTGCCAAAAAACCGTGATGGCAATAAATTTGGTGTCACCACAAAATTATAAGTGCAATGCTCAATTTTGCACAAGCCCAGTAGTGCTACCCCCTACCTTTTTGGGCCTATATCTGTTGGGGACAACAGTCACTGCAAAACATGAGATGAGACTATAGCTGTGTAGATCAAAAGAGTATAACCCCTGGATAAAAACCCTGGGTTCTTGGCCATCCTGCCAGAAAGTTGGGATATTTTATAGTGGAGGGACATTTCAGTTTGACCAAAGGTCACTGAGGCCCCCAGGATGCCAAGGCCTGAGTCAGGGACAATCTGGGTGCAGAAAATCCCAAGAAGAATCTCAAGAAATATCCAGTTTTAATCCTATGCTGGCAATGCATGAAAAAATGCCACCCACTCACAGGCAACTTTTTACTTTTGAGGCAACATTTTCTGGAGGATTATATGAAAGTATTGGAATTTTTCTTAACTGCAGCCTATTGGTTGAAAAATCATAGTTTTTTAATATGCAGCCCTCATGAGGACAATCGTTTGCAAAAATACCCTGGCTTTGCTGCACCAAATTGTCAATAAAAAACATAATGTCAGACTGGGACAAGGGCTGGGAGGAGGAGGAGGATTGAGTCAGGCACATTTGGGTTTGAAGATTAAGATAGAGCTATTTGGAATTTTGAAAATGTAATATTTTTCCCAATTTTTCTTGCAGCTTCAATTGCCTTATTTTGAGATGAAATGTTGATTGTTAACTCCATGGGGAAATAAGCAAAACCTTTTTCTTCCAGTTTGAAAACTTTCTATCACATTTTTCAGGAAAAAAGATATTACAAGGTAAGTATCATTATTTGAATGAAGAATGATGTTCAGTATTTTGTTTGGGCTGCAAGTTGGGCGATGATTCACCCTGTTAAAAGTTGGTCTGGTTTCTCAAGATTCAAAATGCACACAAAGCAATCAATTGGGAGCACTAGAAAGTTCTTGACTCTGGCAAAGACAACTGAAAAGTTCTCAAAAAGATTTTGAAAGTTTCAAGAAGACTTTTTCCAAGGACAGAGGACAGTTTTGATGAAGATGACCTCATCTATTCAAAGAGTTGAATTTCAGTGATAGTTCTTGTTTTTTTTACCCTCGTGCAGCAAAGTTGGGATGTTTTTGCAAAATTATATGCCCTTGAGCACTGAAAATGTAAAAGTTAAATTTTTGTACCAACGCCTGAGTTGGAAAAAATTTGCCTGAAAAATACAAAAAATTTCTCACTGGGTGGCTTTTTTCAGGAATTCCTTGCACAGGATTAGTATTAGAGATTTTTGTATACAAAAGGATTCACCCTTTCAAGATTTTTCCTGACTTAGGCCTTCAGGAATGCTCCCAACCTGGGTGCATTTCAGTGACCTTTGGTCAAACTGAAATGTTCCACCCCTCCACCATCCCAAATCCCAACTTTGCTGCAGGACTGCCAAGAACACTCCACTGTCCAAAGGTTTATGGCCTTGTTTGTTGGAAGGGAGACCTTCTCTCTTTTTGGAATTTTTAGGAGTTGGGGTAATACAGTACAGTACTTGATTCCCATGGAAGCAACCAAAGATGAGTTTTGGTGGAGGGTAAAACATTTTTGAGCCTCCATGTGGATGAAAGATTGATGCCTGAGTTGGAACCAATATACAGTGAGACCCCAAGATGCGGATGTAATTGGTGCATCAAGAGTGTCCCCAAGTGAAAATGTCCCAAAGTCAAGTCTTGTTTTCCCATAGAATTCCATTTTATAATTTTTAATTGGTGTTTTGTGGAAGAAATATTCTTCAGAATTCCCTGAAAAAAATTAATTGCCTCTTGAATTTAAATCAGTGAATACATTGTCAACTCAAAAAGAACATTTGTAGCATTGAATAGTATATCTCTGTACTGTGCACTGAAATTTTGGCATCTACAAAAATGACATTGAAGTGAAAAAAGTAGAAGTCCCTCTATGCTGGAGGTGATTTTTTATTAGTTAAATGGATGGTAATTTGTTGAGAGAAATGCCCAAGAACTTTTCTTACATCAATTTTAAGGTTGAAAATATCTGTTTCTTGTAATTTGGCTTGAAATGCATTTGCAATTTTATCACAAAATGTCCCTATGCTGATGAGTCAGTGTCCTCATGTTGGTCCTTATTTATGGATTTTTTTCTGGGAAAATAAGTATCCCTATGTCAAATTGTCCGCAGGTTGAGGTGTCTGAATGTGGGGGTCTCACTATTAAATTACTCTGGTTTTCATGTTCCTGTGGAAAAGGGTGAGAGAACAACAGATACAAGTGTTCAAAAGAGTTCCTTTTCCCACTGGTTCCATCATGCCTCCACACTGAGGCTCACTGGCACACATATACAGTGAGGTGAACCATTCCAAGAATTTGGAGTCTCCACCAAGTTTTCTGCTGAATTGGAATCGATTTTCATTCCCCCAAGAAAGGATGAACACTGTATAAAAAAAAAACAATAAATAAAGTAAAAGGAATCCCAAGAAGGTTCCTCTTTCTGTCTTGCTATATGCCTGGTTGGGATATGTCTTTTATTCTTTTGTTTTTATTCCCAGTGATATCTATTTATATTTTTCTTCTTCTTCTTATTCTTGCATGCAGGTCTTCTCTGGAACCGCGCCAACGCAGAACAAGTTTTCCGCGGGCCAGAGTTTCCGCCCCGCTCTCCCAATTGATGATCTTTGAACTCGGCATCAGTTTCCGGCCTGCTGGCTTTTGCTCCTTATTTGAGACAAACCTTGGGGATGCTCCAGGAAGGTTGCCCCTTTCCAGGTTCCCTCTTTTTTTTTTAAAGTTTCCATCAGTTATTTTCTCATACTTTTTGAAAGCGAAATGTAACAAATAAATCCTGTATATGCTGGTGAGGAAAATTGGACCTGACTTTGATGTTGGACAAGCCTCTGAGAGTTTACACCAATAGTTTTGCCTTTTGTTTTGCATGGGTATATTTTCATGGTTTAGAAAGTAAAATTAACCTTTTAACCTGTCCATCACAGTGGAGACAGAAAGTACTTGCAAAATTTCCTGCCATGCAGCATAATAAATTCTAAAAAATCTTGGCCACATCAGGAAAAGCCCAAACTTAGGAAAAATCCCAACTTGACTTTATCATTCTTCAGAAAAAATTTGCTGAAAAAAAAAATCCTGGATGGCATTTTTTCCAGCATTCCTGTTATAGGATTGGCATATCAGGGGTCCCAAATAACAATAGCTGCAACTTTTCCCAGATTTTTGCAGACTTCGGCTACCTGGCCAAGATAGGCTGCATTTTGGTGACCTTTGGTTGGACCAAAATGTGCAAGTCTGCCAAAATATCCAGGCTCAGCCCTGCAATGGAAATCAACGTGCCACTTTCTAAAGGTTAAATCCTATTTGCTGGTTACAAAAGTTGAATTTGAACAGCTTTTTGGATGGCATGTTGCAAAAATAAACAATAGAATACAATTCAACACCCTAAACTTAAGACCCCGAATTCTTGTCTTCACTTTATCTCTGTGTGAACCAAGGACAACCTTGGTTCACACACACATTCTCTGGAAGCCTCCAAAGCTGTTTTCCATTGCTAAAATCCTGGTCCTGTTATTTGTCCTTGGAGGACACTTTTCCTGGTTTCTGATTGAATCAAAATTCTTCACTCTTCCCTGAGCTCTCATACAAGAAACTTCTGTGTGTTCATAAATATTGTGTGTATTAACTGTGTGTGTTTGAAATTTTCAAGTATACCAGTAACTTTAAAGTACGGTGATTTTTAACACCGGTTGTAGCCTGACCAAATTCTTGTGTTCCATTTCCTAAAATTTGTAAAGTTCAAACAATTTTTCATAAAATATTTATTTGCTGAGGATTTATTCCCAACATGGCAAGTCAGTACCAGGAAGAGGTGTTAGCAGGACAGAGTCTTGCCTGTGCCCCAAAGGAAAGTGCACACAAGGTGGAATGTGCTATGCTGTGCCCCAAAGCAATTTTTTTGCCCTTGAGGGGCAACTTTTGCAGAGTAAAAATGTGCAAGAAACAGAATTTAGTCAAGAATAATAACTTTGTTGCACCTGCCTCAGTCCCAGGGGTTTTCTGGCCTGTATAAAAAGTGCCAGTCTTTTAGCCAGTCATTCTTCTGTCAGTCTTTAGTCAGTCCTCTGTGACTCAGTCTCCCTGAAGTCTATAGTTTGGTCTTACTCTGGTGTTTGCTGTAGTTTTGAATCAATCAATTAATGCTGAGGTCTTGCCTCACTCCAGTCTGAGTGTAGATACTTGTTCTGTTCTGTGATCTGCTGTGATGCTGAGGGGGGGGGGGGGTCCATGGGATCTGTGATGAGCCAGGGATGCCTAGGCAGAAACCTCCTCTGAACAAGAGTTGAGAGTTTCTGCAAGGCTCCCACTCTGAAGCCCCTAAATCCTTGGCTGAGCTAGTCAATAATTTTGCAGTTAACCCTTTGTTGGTTCTGGGCCCCACACAGCTGATTTGGCCTGGAAGTACCTAACCCCGGAGTCTGGGAGAGGGAAAATACAATCTTTGTTTACAAGTCTGAAAATCAAAGTACAGTATTGGGAACTTGAAATTTTTTTTTTTATACAGTTGCTCTCCCTTTCTGTATGGGGAGACCATTGTGCATTGATTATTATTTTTTTACAATTTAATAATGGCCAGGCTTTGACGCTTTTTTCAAGATTCTCCTATACAGTATTAAGCAAGGAAATCATAATTCAATTATGTTGAAAATTGATTGTAAAATTATCCCTGAACTGAAACAAGTTTTTCACAAAAAAAAATGCAGTGAAGCCTTCAGCAAAAAATGTGCAACAGTGAACGCCTTACATTACAAAGGTTTTACCATGAACTTGACTCAAGTAACAAGCCCCAAGTTAAAATGTCAAAATTAGGAGAAAAGAAAATATGCTTATTTAAATGCTTAATCGTGAAGGAGAGAATTCTAAATGCAAAAAATTTCATTCCAATAGAGGGATTCCGCAACATTTGTAGATAAATTCCATTTTTTTGGAAACATGCCTTTTTTTGTTCCAATCATTACAATAGCTGCTTTTTTCTAGGTGATTGTTCTTCCATTTTCATGTCAATTAATAAGTTCTCCAATTTAAATAGACTACTAAAAATTATTTTCCTTCTTGTTCCATTAAATGTTTTATATTGTGACTCGAATATAAATGCATTGAGTACCAAACCTGCTGCTTCATTGATTTGGGACTTAGAAAACCCAACTTGAAGTAAATATCACAAAGTGTTTTACTCCCTGGGTTGGGTCATGCACTCATGCCCCATTCACAAATGCTCAAGGGTTTTAGAGGCTTCATTTTTCAAGCTTGAGAAACTACCATACCTGATTGGAGGTTACTGCCAAAAAAGAAAAACAAAGCACCTGCTTATCTCTTGTTCAAATACTTTGCCTTATCCGCCTGGTTGGGCTTTCTTAACCTTCAGCAAATTGGAAACCTAGTTGCTTACAAGAAAATCCCAAATTTGCATGGCAATGGGAAAAAAACTTTGCTGCAGATGGATTATGTACAGTGGATGGAAAAACTGTATTTTTGACAGCTTGCAGCATGAAATTGTGATATTAAAATTAATTTTGCATGAAATGTGAAACACGATCCTTACCCCCCTAAGTCAAAATTGTTTCAAGTCCCCATCTGAATCCCCTTGGAAACAATACATTAAAAACCCTTTGTAAGTCAAAGGCTTTTTCCCTCAAATCTCCAAAAGTCACATTTTCTGTGGCCTGTTGCCTATTTTTTTCTTGACACAAGAAAGAAAAAATCAATAAAAACTGAATTTTATGTGTTTTAGATGGAAGCAAGAGACTTACTTTGGCAAATGAACCCCTGCCTCAAAGTTCAGCATTCTTTCAACTCATTTGAGAAGCAATTTAAGCCCCAGAATAGCATCATTCACAATTTCGGGCAATTTATCTATGCATCCCAGAACAAAGTGGCTCCAATCTCTATGATTAAAAACCTCCCTAAGCCAAATTTGTTTACTGCTGGTCCCTTGAAATTTGATGTAGAAAGGTTTGACATTAGAAGCAGCATCCCAAGTGGCAGCCACCCAAGAATTTCAACCCCCTCTAAAAGACCAGGGAGGTGGAAAGGGATATCGCCTTGTTTACGCCTGGCGAATTTTCCCCCACCACCACCACCACCCCATGATGTATCTTATACTGTACAGTTACATCACACACACACACACACAAGTATAGAACAAAACATGTGGGGTTGTCTGTGATGGGCTTATCACCCTTTATGAGATGTGATTCTCACTCATTTCCAAGAACATGAAGGAAGGATGAATGCTAAAGTCAAAGCTCAAAGTCCAGTCATACAAGTGCTTGCTTTTTTTCTTTCATGTGTACTGCTTGGTGTATTTTGTATATGTAATGAATCACTTATCCACAGCCTCCCCTTTATTTATTCTTCCATCTCCATTTTAGAGAAGGAGGGGGAGTTTTGAGGTGATAACAGTACCATTATCCATCTTTATTACCCCTGCTCTTGATTTGGCTTCATGAGATTATTTTTTTGTTTTAATCTTGTTGCAGATGCATTTTGTTGATGCCTTTAAATATTGTAAAGTTAAGCATTTAAGATTTAATTATTGGTGTGTCGTTGTTCAGATGCTGTACCTGTACCTGGAAAAACAGTGGCACATAATCTTCCTTTTGAAGCATTTATTTTCTTCTTCTCATGTGCTTGAAAGCTTAGCCTTAAAGATTATTACTGCTGAGTTTTTGCTCAGATACAGTATTCTTACTTGCAAATTGTGGTGCCTCTTGAATGAATGAATGAATGAACAGAGGACTTTATTTGCCGCTTTTCAGCGTTCATGAGGTTCAATCAAGATTTCCACAACCAAACCCCCTTCCCAGTTCCCACCCAGAGGCTCAGTGAGTCTCGCAAAAACAGGATTTTTGCGAGGCTCACAGGCCTCGGAAATCCTACAAGTTTTGGGGTCCGGTTTCCACCGGATGCTGGAGCTGCGTCGCTTCGGTCCGCGACAGTATATACAAGAAAATCCCAAATTTGCATGGCAATGGGAAAAAAACTTTGCTGCAGATAGGTTATGTACAGTGGATGGAAAAACTGTATTTTTGACAGCTTGCAACATGAAATTGTGATAGAAAAATTAATGTGGCATGAAATGTGAAACACGATCCTTACCCCCCTAAGTCAAAATTGTTTCGAGTCCCCATCTGAATCCCCTTGGAATCAATACATTAAAAAACCTTTTTATAAGTCAAAGGCTTTTCCCCTCAAATCTCCAAAAGTCACATTTTCTGTGGCCAGTTGGCTATTATTTTCTTGACACAAGAAAGAAAAAAATCAATAAAAACTGAATTTTAGGTGTTTTAAAAGGAAGCAAGAGACTCAATTTGGCCAATGAACCCCTGCCTCAAAGTTCAGCATCCTTTAAACTCATTCAAGAAACAGTTGAAGCCCCAGAATATCATCATTTAAAAATTTGGGCAATTTGTCTATGCTTCCCAGAACAAAGTGGCTTTGTATTGTGGCTCCAACCTCTATGATTAAAAACCTCCCTAAGCCAAATTGTTTTACTGCTGGTCCCTTGAAATTTGACTTAGAGAGGTTTGACTGTAGAAGCAGCATCCCAAGTGGCAGCCACCCAAGAATTTCAACCCCCTCTAAAAGACCAGGGAGGTGGAAAGGGATATCGCCTTGTTTACGCCTGGCGAATTTTCCCCCACCACCACCACCCCATGATGTGTCTTATACTGTACAGTTACATCACACACACACACACACACAAGTATAGAACAAAACATGTGGGGTTGTCTGTGATGGGCTTATCACCCTTTATGAGATGTGATTCTCACTCATTTCCAAGAACATGAGGGAAGGATGAATGCTAAAGTCAAAGCTCAAAGTCCAGTCATACAAGTGCTTATATTTTTCTTTCATGTGTACTGCTTGGTGTATATTGTATATGTAATGAATCACTTATCCACAGCATCCCCTTTATTTATTCTTCCATCTCCATTTTAGAGAAGGAGGGGGAGTTTTGAGGTGATAACAGTACCATTATCCATCTATATTACCCCTGCTCTTGATTTGGCTTCATGAGATTATTTTTTTGTTTTAATCTTGTTGCATATGCATTTTGTTGATGCCTTTAAATATTGTAAAGTTAAGCATTTAAGATTTAATTATTGGTGTGTCGTTGTTCAGATGCTGTACCTGTACCTGGAAACAGTGGCGCATAATCTTCCTTTTAAAGCATAGTTGTTTTTCTTCTCATGTGCTTGAAACCTTAGCCTTACAGATGATTACTGCTGAATTTTTGCTCAGATACAGTATTTGTACTTGCAAATTGTGGTGCCTCTTGAATGAATGAATGAATGAACAGAGGACTTTATTTGCCGCTTTTCAGCGTTCATGAGGTTCAATCAAGATTTCCACAACCAAACCCCCTTCCCAGTTCCCACCCAAACCAAATCCACTCAATGACATTTAATCACTTCAGAGCAGGAAAGCACAAATCAATAACACAAATAAAAGAAAATACAATACAACATGAATTACAACTGAACATCTGACATGTATGCATGCAGCACCCATTCATTCCCAAAAATTGGTGACAAAATATATGTAAAAATTAATTTAAAGCACATGGTCTTCAGCTTGTTTTTGTATGAGGTTTAGTTGAATGATCAAATTAGAGAGAATGTTTGATGAGAAATGAAATGAAGCCAACAGTTCATCTTGATCCTTTAAAATTTCAGAAAGGATTTTTTTCATTGAATTCCAGTGCTGGTGCCTCATGCAATAAAAAAAACTATGCTGCATGATCTGCTATGTATAGGATGATGCCATTGCTTTCCACAGAAAAGGAATGAGGAAAATTTACTGCAAATCAAATGTATCTGATGAAATAATTTTTATGGGTGCTTTCTCCAGAAATGATAAAGTTGAAATTCCGAAAACGTGTTTATGAATGGTGTGTATTTCTGAAGATTATTCTTCTCTTTTCTTTTTGTTCTTTCAGAAAGCTCATGCACAAGAAAAATATTGTTTTGACATGGTTTTTTTCTAAATTCATGCAAAATTCATTTTTGTTCCAACGTTCACTGTGACTTAGGATGACAGTTCTGTTACCTGAAAAAAGACCCAAAATATTTATTGAGCCAATATACATAAAAAAGCTAATTTGTTTGAATATATCATCTCATTTCCTCAATTGAGATCAAAAGTCAAGCTAGATATATGCCACATGTCCTGAAGTTTTCCCCATTTATATTCCTATAATTTTGTCTGTTTTTTTTTTTAAACCCCTATTCTCACATGTTCAAAACAAAAAAACAAACAAAAAGCTTCGCCCCACCCCAACCCAGAAAAGTTGTCAGGATGTTTGTATATATACATAGACACATGCTTTATCTACAACTTACCCTCGTCCGAATAAGCAGCCCTGCTTCATGCAATAATCTCCCAAACAAATAAAGAAATAAATAAATACTACAGACACATAAAAAATAAAAAACCAGGCAGAAAACTCATAGCTCCGGTAGAAAAGGAAAAGAGGGTCCTGTTATTCTCAGCAACTGCTGGAGGAACAGCAGGGTTAAGTGAGGCTTGCGAAAGTGAATGAAGCCGGCGACAGGCCGCAAGCAAACCCCGGAAACACATTCAAGCCGTCAGCAGCCGTTTTTAGCCTGTTTCATTCCAACCCCCCCAGATACCCCCCTCTTCTTCTTCACACACACACACCACGCACAGAGATCGGGATCCCTCTTCCCCATCACGTTATTCCAAAGGGATCCAGGATCTCTCCCCTTCGATAAAGGGAAAAAAAGTTGGTGGTCAACGAGCCGCAACGCGAAGGATATCCCGTTGCAGCCCACGCGACTCCTTTCAAGGTAACGGAAGCACACGACAAGAACAACATCTGCTCAATGGCAAAAAAAGAAGGAAAAAGCAAAAAATAAAGAAAAAGAAGACATGAAAAAATATATCAGCAGGGCACAACGACTCTATACAAAAAAGTTTTGCTGATTTATACCTAAAATATCTTTATCACAGACACACACACACACTATTCCACAATCCAGAGGAGAGGAACAAAAACAAAGATGAAGTCAGAAGCTAAATCTCCCAGAAGAAACTTTTTCCCAGACCAGAGTTTATGGGAAATTTCATTTCTCTCATGAAAACACAGTCAATACTCTTAAAATATAATTTTAAAAAGGGACCATAAGTGAAAATTAGTTAGGGAGATTTTCATTTGGGGAAACAAGCATCTTTGTTATGGAAAAAAATTCATAAATTGTGATTGGTGATGTTCTGGGACTTAAATTGATTTTTAGATGAGTTGACAGGATGCTTAATTTTTTAACACTTCTGCACCAACAGGTTTTTTCCTACTGCAGGATTAAGTTGGGATTTTCTTGGGTTGGCCTAGGTTTAGATTTTGTTGAAGGCCATGATAGCCAAAGCTGGTGGCCTATATAGGGCAAAGTTGGACTTTTTCTGCCAACAATGTGTTGTTGAGATATCCCCAAGTTGGACTTTTCTTGCTGCTTATCTTCTGTGGCCTCTAAATGGGAACCCTTCTTCTGGTGACCAAAATAAAAGGGTCAAGAAGCTGATAATAATGAAAGTAATCTGGGAATGAGATAAAATAGCTCAGGGGTGAAAATTGATTTTTCCATTCTTGGCAGAATTTGTGTGAAAAACTAAAAGAGGAAAACAACCATTTCCAACAAAAAAGCCCCTTCTGCTTGGGCATGAGAGCTTTCGTAACTACCTAAAATGGCAACAGCAATAAATTTGCTGTTGCCGGGGTTATAAAACAACACAGAAGCCGGGTCATAAAAACCTGACTCCAAAACTCTGTTTTGGCAGGAGGAGTTTGAGAAAAATCCCTCTCCTCACATTACTCAAAAGGAAAGGACAGAAACAAAAACCCTGGGCGGATGGGAACTCAAAATTGGGTTTCCTATAACCCAATTTGAAAAAGAAGGGGATCTTCCCCTCCTTCTCTCTTCTTGCATTTTTTCCAATAAGAATGCGCATTTCCCACTTTGTGGGAACTGCTCAGAAACAGACCAGATGTTGCCTAAGAAATAGGGAAAAACTCTATCAAAAAAACCAAGGGGACAATGATTTACCAATTACCTTGTTAACTTCACCTGCAACCATCTTTCTGGACAATCTCACCCAACTCTGCCAATCATCTGTACAGGTATAAATGGGACTTGAGGTCCCAAAGCATCAGATCAGACCATTTTCAGAAGGAGACCACGCTGGACAGATGTCTTCAGCTGCTTACAATTGTTTTTACAGACGTTGTGTCTTTTTTGCAAGAAGTGAGTATTCAAAACCAAAAGCCTTGATTCAAGGTTGTTTCTAGCTTTGCCTGTGTGCTAGAAAGTAAAAGTTGCGCTTATTATTTGGGATTTTGAATCCCTCAGGTTGGTTGCGCACTGACCAATTGATGTGTTTTTACTTCCTCAAGCTTAAACCTCTTGTTACACGCACTTACACAAAATTGGGGTGGAACCTTTGATTTTGCACAATTTGGCTGCAGTTTAAAAAATGCCAGGGTTTTCCCTGACTTTGCCCTGGATGCACTGTTCTGCTTTTTTCAAAGCTTCATTTACAGGCATCAAATTTTGTGGAAAAACTTTCACCTTGCTGCCTGCTGGAAATTAGAAAAATGAACAAGATAATGACTAAATGTACAGATGCTAAGTCAAAGAAAGATGAACTGTTAGACTGTTCAGAGAAAAGTAATCCATCAAGCATTTAACCCTTCTGCGGCTAAGTCGGACTTTTTTCGCAGATTTTTGTGTCACTCCAGGGTGGAATTTAAAAAACCTCAACAGTGTGTGCAGCGCAAAGTCGGGAAAAATCCTGGCATTTTTTAAATTTTCCACAGAAAAATTTCACCTGAAAATAAAAAAAATGAAAGCTTCATGGCTCCCCTTTTTTTCCCTGCCTTGTGTTGTTTCCCCATTCAAAGATTAAATTTAAGCTTGAAAGCCAGGAGCCCAGGCTGGAGGTCAATACGGAAAAAGTCCGACTCAGGACTTTCCCAGCATTTCATTATCCCCGGAAAAAATCCGACTTTGCCCTCCCCCACCTGGCAGGGGTTGCATAACCTTGTGCAAAAATATAATGCACACCCATCCAAAAAAAGTCCGACTTAGCCCTGGGATGGAAAGGAGGCTGCCGCTGTCCAAGGGTTAATGGGACAGAGTTTGACCTTGAGTTCCCACAAGGGGCTTCCTGTATCCTTGGGATATCCTGGGATAATTCAATACTCAAGGACAAAATTTTTCCAGGAAAGGTTTTCAAATGCTGATTCCTTTTCTGTTTTATCATCAGTCATTTTTGGCAGTCTAATGCTAAAAACATCAGAACTCTCATGCAATTGATTGCATTGAAATGCTGTTTTTTGTGTGTCAAATGTACCAACTTTACACTAGGGTGTCAAGCACCCAGGCCATAGCCCAGCTGATTGCTGTTCTCTTTATTCAAAAGTGATGCAAACTTTTTTCAATCCCAACACTGCCCAAGGGTGAAATAAGGGCTCATTTGCTCAATTTGTCTTTCACTTAATTTCAAAACACTTTTTTACATTTTTATTGCTCTTCTCTTTCCTGTTTTGAAAAAATATTAACTAAAAGGTTTCAGAAAATTCAAGTCACCAGCCTTTGATATGAAATGCGTTTGAATTAGATAAGTTTTCCATGCATTGTTTTTGAGGGAATGCAGAAAGGTACTGGACAAATAATTTGACTTAGGGAGGTTCCAGTTATTCACATTAAACTGTATATATAATATCATCAAAAAGCAATAACCCATGGCAACATATACTCAGTTTTAGCTCATACAAATGGATTGTAAATATGCACCATGCCATCAAGGTTTAATGGATTTTTTTGGAAAGGTATAAGTACAGTTGGACCTCAATAACTTGAAACTCTCATAATCAACCCTTTGGCGGCAGTGCCAGGATTTATGCAGAAAATTTTTTTGCCCCAAGGAGTAGAAAAAATGTGGGAACAGCATAAATGATTACAAGAGCCAAAGTTGTGAAAAATTCAAAAATGTTTAGCATTCCTTCAGAAAAACTTGCAGGAGGAAAGAAAAGTTACTGATGGGTGGCATTTTTTTACAGTCCTGCCATATGATTAGCATTGGGGAACTATCAGGACAATGACTTTCTTCTTGCAAGATTTTTCCTGACTTGAGCTACTCAGCCAAAGCTGCCTTTGGGTAACATTTGGTCAAACCAAAATGCAGGAGTCTGCAAAAAATCCCTGCACTGCTGTGTGATGCAGAAGAACCTGCCACCACCAAAGGGGTAAGTATAAAGTGTAACCCAGAAACCAAATTTCAATTATTTTCTTTTCTCCTTATTTGGAAGGAGATCCTTCTCAACAAGGTATTTGTTTCCTTGCAGCTGTTCCCCTTTTGTTTTGGTTCCCCCTCTCTCACATCAGCCCACATTAATGCATGATGGTTGTTATTGTGCATTTCAACTTGCTATTTGTTGACAGTGACAAACAACTTGCACTGCCTTCTTCTAAACTTCCAATTTAGAAGAAGCCTATTCTGTTGAACTTGGAAGTGCATATATTATATATATATATACCCAGATGTATATATATTCATCAGTGTTCAAGGAACCCACAGTTCCTCTATCTAGGCAAATAATCTGCCTCTATATTTTATGTTCCCTGGAAGGTATAAATATACCTTCCTTCCCACATACTTCTCCAGAATTAATCTAGAGTCATTCATGGTTATTTATCAGAGAGATTTGCAGAATGTTTTAGCAAGACTCTCTTAAAGCTCTCTATTTTTATGTTTGTGTGATTGTACAAATATATTGTGAATTGAATGTTTTTGAAAGTATATATTTTTATTGGACTTGTATATTTTAATCAACTAGGTCTACAGACAACAAATGAAACCTCTCAATGCTGATTGTTTTTAGTTAAAAAAAATGTTACTGAAGGAATGCACCTGAAAACTTTCTGAATGCCAACATTTTTCTTGTTTTTCTGCTTTCCCTCAACATTTCCTCCTCATATTTATGTCTCCCTTTCTAGGTACCATAAAAATGATATGCGTGCCAATATATGTTGGAAAAAACTTTGATGAGGCGACAATCTGGCACCCAAGAAGGAAATCTTCTCTTCCTCTTGGAAATTTTAGCATTCTCTGAAGCCTCTGTCAGAGGCTCCAAAGAACCAAGACAAAGAAATAAAAGTTTTTTAGGAAATAAAGGAAGGCACAATAGGCCGTTTGCGGCCGAGACTAGGTCTCCTCGAACAGTGTAATTCAGTAACACAAATTGACAACAGTTTTCACTTTCAGGAATCAGGAAGACACACTTTTTCAAGAGCACTTTCAGGAACCAATCGCTACGAGAATCTCAAGATGAGTGACGA